AGACGAATGGGTTGTTCACAACGCCTACTCTTATTAGTCTTAACTGTAATAAAGGAGGCGTTGGTGGGGCAGTTTGCGTTCCCACACACGAAAAAGTTGCACACTGTTTTATTTTACTACATGTACTTCGACCATCCCCGTCCTACGCTGTACAAACACTCAAAGGCCTACACTCCCCCCCCCCCCCCTCTCTCTCTCTCTCTCTCTCTCTCTCTCTCTCTCTCTCTCTCTCTCTCTCTCTCTCTCTCTCTCACACACACACACACACACACACACACACACACACACACACACACACACACACACACACACACACACACACACACACACACACGGGGGGGAGGGGGGGGGGGGGGGAAGAACAACCAACAACGTTGTCTTCCTGGCTATGTTAGTCTACGCTTTTTCTTTTTGTGACGCCTCGTTTACAGTACTCAACTAAAAAAAAAGTGACTGATGAGTAGAATTCGGAGATCCAATAGCCAATCAGCAGACAGCTACTTGGTGAATACAATTCAGTTCGTGCTCTCTTAGGGCACTTTGAGCAAAAATTAATCAGTTCGAAGCTGGCGACATTTCAGATACTTGTGATTCCAGTAGTAAAACTACATTGGACACTGCCTTCCCGTCTCCTGTGCTAATGAAACCGAGGCGATCAGGCGACACATAGAGATTTAGATTCCATTATATCTTAGCAAATATTCAGGTATGTTATTTGTTTTCGTATTTTTTTATATTGAACCGTATTCCAATTCTTATTATCAAGTCCTCATTCTTCGTCTCTCCCCATTCCTCCTCATTGTACATATTGTGCGTACTGAAAGTGAAAGGTCATTTCATTCCCCTTTCCCTATTTTGGGCTAGTTCCGTTGTTTCTCTCTCACTTGTATTTCCTGTGCACTCTTTCTACTCAAACTGCACCCCCCCCCCCCCCCTTAACCCCTTCCTCCTAGTTCCTTCAGATTTAGTAATTTATATTTACAGTATTCCACATCCAGCAACCACCCTTGCGACTCTTAATTTAAGCGAGAGCAATCTCTCTCTCTCTCTCTCTCTCTCTCTCTCTCTCTCTC